ATGTGTTGAGCTGGCCCATTGGTGTATGTATCTACATTCTTATGTGTTGAGCTAGCCCATTGGTCTATGTATCTATATTCTTATGTGATGAGCTGGCCCATTGGTGTTTGTATCTACATTCTTATGTGTTGAGCAAGCCCATTGGTGTTTGTATCTACATTCTAATGTGTTGAGCTAGCCCATTGGTGTATGCATCTACATTCTTATGTCATGAGCTGGCCCATTGGTGTATGTACCTACATTCTTATGTGTTGAGCTGTCCAATTGGTGTATGTATCTACATTCTTATGTGTTCAGCTGGCCCATTGGTATTTGTATCTACATTCTAATGTGTGGAGCTGGCCCATTGGTGTATGTATCTACATTATTATGTGTTGAGCTGGCCCATTGGAGTATGTATCTACATTCTTATGTGTTCAGCTGGCCCATTGGTATTTGTATCTACATTCTAATGTGTTGAGCTAGCCCATTGGTGTATGTATCTACATTATTATGTGTTGAGCTGGCCCATTGGTGTATGTGTCTACATTCTTATGTGTTCAGCTGGCCCATTGGTGTGTGTACCTACATTCTTATGTGTTGAGCTAGCCCATTGGTATATGTACCTACATTCTGACCTTTTGTAGCTGGCATTTTGGTATTTGTATCTACATTCTGACCTGTTTAGCAGCCCATTGGTATATGTACCGACATTCTCACCTGTTTAGCTGGCCTATTGGTATATGTGCCGACATTCTGACCTGTTTAGCTGGGCCATTGGTGTTTGTATCTACATTCTAATGTGTTGAGCTAGCCCATTGGTCTATGTATCTATATTCTTATGTCATGAGCTGGCCCATTGGTGTATGTGTCTACATTCTTATGTGTTCAGCTGGCCCATTGGTGTTTGTATCTACATTCGCACCTGTTTGAGCTAGCCCATTGGTGTATGTATCTACATTATTATGTGTTGAGCTGGCCCATTGGAGTATGTATCTACATTCTTATGTGTTCAGCTGGCCCATTGGTGTGTGTACCTACATTCTTATGTGTTGAGCTGTCCAATTGGTGTATGTATCTACATTCTGACCTGTTGAGCTGGCCCATTGGGATAAGTACCGACATTCTGACCTGTTTAGCTGGCCCATTGGTATATGTTCCGATATTCTCACCGGTTTAGCTGGCCCATTGGTGTATGTATCTACATTATTATGTGTTGAGCTGGCCCATTGGTGTTTATATCTACATTCTTATGTGTTGAGCTAGCCCATTGGTGTATGTATCTACATTATTATGTGTTGAGCTGGCCCATTGGTGTATGTGTCTACATTCTTATGTGTTCAGCTGGCCCATTGGTGTTTGTATATACATTCGTATGTGTTCAGCTGGCCCATTGGTATTTGTATCTACATTCTAATGTGTTGAGCTAGCCCATTGGTGTATGCATCTACATTCTTATTTGTTGAGCTGGCCCATTGGTGTATGTACCGACATTCTGACCTGTTTAGCTGGCCCATTGGTAAATGTGCCGATATTCTGACCTGTTTAGCTGGCCCATTGGTGTATGTATCTACATTCTACCTGTTTAGCTGGCCCATTGGTGTTTGTACCGACATTCTGACCTGTTTAGCTGGCCCATTGGTAAATGTGCCGATATTCTGACCTGTTTAGCTGGCCCATTGGTGTATGTACCTATATTCTGACCTGTTTAGCTTGCCGATGATTAGCTGGCCCATTGGTGTATGTTCCTACATTATTATGTGTTGTGCTGGCCCATTGATGTTTGTACCTACATTCTTTGTGTTGAGCTGGCCCATTGGTGTTTGTACCTACATTCTTTGTGTTGAGCTGGCCCATTGTTGTTTGTATCTACATTCTCACCTGTCTAGCTGGGCCATTGGTGTTTGTATCTACATTCACACCTGTTTAGCTGGCCCATTGGTGTTTTTATCTACATTCTCACCTGTTTAGCTGGGCAATTGGTGTTTGTATCTACATTCTCACCTGTTTAGCTGGGCCATTGGTGTTTGTATCTACATTCTCACCTGTTTAGCTGGGCCATTGGTGTTTGTATCTACATTCGCACCTGTTTAGTTGGGCCATTGGTGTTTGTATTTACATTCTCACCTGTTTAGCTGGCCATTGATTGGTGTTTGTATCTACATTCTCACCTGTTTAGCTAGCCCATTGGTGTTTGTATCTACATTCTCACCTGTTAAGCTGGCCCATTGGTGTTTGTATCTAAATGTTCACCTGTTGAGCTTGCATATTGATGTTTGTACCTACTTTTTGACCTGCTGTGCTGGTCCATTGATGTGGAGGTTACCAGCCAGCTGGACCAGACTCGTGTTAAGGTCAGGCTGTATCAACTTATCCTGTTTCTTTTCCTCTGTCTGGTTCTGTGATTTGGGCTGTAGTACTTCACCAAATGCATCAAACCCTGTCAACACAACAATCTACATATGTTACAGGGTCCAACCAGCAGTATACAAGGGTAGACAACTCCTCTAACACCAGTTAATAAAATCTACAACCTATGTTGTAAGATATAACCATTTTTACTAACCTATGGAGACTGTACTAAAGTAATCACACAAAGGTATAATGTTTATACAGGTAGCCACTGATAACTTGCTGGACTTATGCTGGTTTCACTATATTCTATGTGATTATAAACAACATGTAATACTACAAAATATGTATTTGTTCCATATGAAGCACGGATACTATCAATGGCAATTGGTTTATGTCACACAGATCAGGACTACAGTTAAACATGTACACATGTCTAACACAGACCCTGCTTAAAGTTAAGGTAAAAACTGTACTTAAACACAGAGACACTGATGTAAATACTATACTACACAATATGGACACATCAACGTACAGGTAAAATACTGTACATAAACACACGAACAGTCAGATGTACAGGTAAAATACTGTACTAAACACATGGGCACTCAGATGTACAGGTAAAATACTGTACTAAACACATGGGCACTCAGATGTACATGTAAAATACTGTACTAAACACATGAGCACTCAGATGTACAGGTAAAATACTGTACTAAACACATGGGCACTCAGATGTACAGGTAAAATACTGTACTAAACACGAATAGTCCGATTTACAGGTAAAATACTGTACTAAACACATGGACATTCTAATGTACAGGTAAAATACTAGACACATGACATCATGCTATACTTGTTAACATATATACTCTGATCAAGGCTATGCAAGCTCACATAATTACTTGTCTGGTCACAAAAACATAGGTTAATGCATAACAACAATTATAGTGGAGCTCGCAAGCTACACAGGGTACACAGTGGGTCACATTGTTCCATTTCTGCCTGGATCTTCTGAATTCATGCATGAAAACTAACTAGGTCATGGATTTAGACATAAATCAACAGAAAGATAATTGTTTCACAACTGTCATTCCTTTTATCATAAGAAACCAATACCTCATTAAAACTTGATTTTTTTCTACAAATTATTTACACACAAGTAGTATTCGGATAAATGATGTGAGAAACAATGACTGTAAATACAATGAGAAGACAGCAGTGAGTGTGTGGTCAACATAAAATAGGTGGTGATAAAACAGAAATGTTAACATAAACACATTCTTTTGGCTGATAAGTTTCAAAAAATACATTTGAACAACTTTTGTCATTAAGGTTACATAAACTGAAACCAAATTTGAATAATAAAACAAATTCTACAAACTAAGTTATCTGAAAATTTCCACAATGGTTTTCATTTTTATATTAGTTACATAATAAATCAGTAACGATAATAATTATCTATTCAGTTATCTCCTCTGACTTTACCCGAGGTATTTGTCTATTCAGTTATCTCCCCCTGACTTTACCTGAGGTATTTGTGTACTCGGTTATCTCCCCCTGACTTTACCTGAGGAATTTGTCTATTCAGTTATCCCCCTGACTTTACCTGAGGTGTTTGTCTATTCATTTATCCCCCTGACTTTACCCGAAGTATTTGTCTATTCAGTTAACCCCCCTGACTTTACCCGAGGTATTTGACTACTCAGTTATCCCCCCTGACTTTAAATGAGGTATTTGTCTATTCAGTTATCCCCCCTAACTTTACCTGAGGTATTTCTCTATTCAGTTATCCCCCCTGACTTTACCTGAGGTATTTGTCTATTCAGTTACCCCCCTAACTTTACCTGAGGTATTTGTCTATTCAGTTATCCCCCCTGACTTTACCTGAAATATTTGTCTACTCAATTAACATTTCCTGGTAAAACAGTGATTCTACAGGTAACATCAACAACAATATTACACTTACTGTGACTTAGGGGTAAAACTGACACCAAATTTATTCTAGGGGTAACATTAACACTGAATTGTTTCTAGAGATAACAAGACACTGATTTGTTTCTAGAGGTAACAAGACACTGATTTGTTTCTATAGGGAACACGACACGGATTTGTTTCTAGGGTTAAAAAGTCAGTGATTTATGTCTAGAGTAACATTGACACTGATTTGTTTCTAGGGGTAACAAGACACTGATTTATTTCTAGGGTAATATTGACACTGATTAGTTTCTAGGAATAACAAGACACTGATTTATTTCTAGGGGTAACATTGACACTGATTTATTTCTAGGGTAATATTGACACTGATTGGTTTCTAGGAATAACATGACACTGATTTATTTCTAGGGGTATACGTAACAAGACACTGATTTGTTTCTAGGGGTAACATTGACACTGATTTATTTTTAGGGTAACATTGACACTGATTAGTTTCTAGGGTTAACAAGACATTGATTTGTTTCTAGGGGTAACATCAACAAAACTGTTACTCTGTAGGTTAACATCAATAACCCTGACTTTTGGGGGTAATACTGATAACAATGTCTCATACCAACATTTACAATGACACCGCTCCATAGGTTACATCACAACTAATCCATATCTGAACAAATTCAATAAACCCAAACAATTACAAACATCAAATTGAAACTTGAAACAAGTATAAACTTGGTCAATAAACAAAACCTCTAAATAAACTAAATCATTATGAGTATAAGGGTACACGTTAACATGTGAAAGAACATCTCTGTTCTGAAAGAAAATCACTACAAAATAAACTGGACAACTAGGATGGGATATTTGATCACCTGATCCCTGGTCAGAGGTGGAGGAAGGGGCGGGGCTGCTCCTACCCACAGCTGTCACACAAACAAGAAACAGTATTGTATAAATATCATATCTGTATAGTTATCTAATACATAGTGTAGCTGGGTACATAGTTTACATTAATATAACATAAGTGTCACAATTCTATAGCTAGTCCACAATATTCTGCTATCAATTGTAAGATTTGCTTAGTAAAATGTTAACGATTGTGTAGATATATATATATAACCATCAAATGTAAATACTAAATATTTACCTAACAACCATTTATTCTACCCTTCATCTGCATCAAAACATCAAGCTGTCACCTTTGATTGCAGTGAATAAAGATTAATATTCCGATCGGTCAATTTCAAAATTGTCGGAGTGAGATAAATCACTTGAACCAGGTTGAATTCTGTATCTCTCTTTTAAAATGTTACTAAATAGATTAACCAACCACTCAACTGATCTGAAACGGTGATGAATGAAATGTTCATCATTAAATTTGAAAATTGTTCTTAAAACATACAGTAGTTGACTGCATACTGAAAAATTAGTAGTAGTGTAAAATTACAAAACCGTACTGATTTACATAGAAAACAACATAACAAAGGTATAATACTAGATGTTTTTCTTGTACACTCTAATAGCATCCTACCTTGCTCCATAAAACTTGGAGTGAGACTCCTGTGTTGGAGAGCTTGAAAAGATACACAACATAGACAGGTCAAGGTCAGAAAACAAAGGAAGTAGAAAGTACACAAGGGGGGTAACTCCATTGATACATTGCATATGTATACTGGATAAAAACAAGCTTGATCTAAAGAGTAAACTAGACAACTCAAGGTTCTTTTTGACTCAGACAAAAAAAATACTTTAGCAAAAGATATAACAGGATAGTAATGGTAACCATGATGCAAATCCTATCACATACACACAGTGACTATATGTTTTATTGCCTATAATGCCATGTCTCCTACCATTTCATGGTAGTACTAATCAAGAGGAAGGAAACACTTTTAAAAATAAAACCTTCATGCTCAGGAAAACAAGGCAAAGTATTGCAAGTCCACCACCAGTTATGATTTCTATTTTTACCTAACAGTACACTTATGTCAGGAAGCATAGGTCACGGTGAGGTCATAGTGACCTACTTCTTGCACTCCTCCATTCCAAGATGTCCTTGTACACCAAATCTGGTTACTTCAGGTGAAATAGTCTAGAAGATATGCCACGGACAAACTTTTTCAAAAGTAAAGGTCAAAGGTCAAGTCATAGGTCACAGTGACCTAATTCTTGCACTCTGCACTCAATCATCCCAAGATGTCTTTGTACACCAAAGCTGGTTACACCAGGTGAAATAGTAAAGAAGAAATGCCCTGGACAAACATTTTCAAAAGTGGAGTCACAGGTCAAGTCATAGGTCACAGTGACCTAATTCTTGCACTCTGCACCCCGTCATCCCAAATCTGGTTACTCCAGGTGAAATAGTGCAGAAGATATGCCCTGGACAAACTTTTTCAAAAGTAAAGGTCAAAGGTCAAGTCATAGTGACATAATTCTTACACTATGCACTCCGCCATCCCAAGATGACCTTTTACACAAAATCTGGATACTCCTGGTGAAATAGTATAGAAGATATGTCCCGGACAAACTTTTCAGATGGAAGGACGGAAGTACGGACAGAGTGCAAACCTAACACCTCCCCCTGGGAACCAATGGGGACTATAAACATTTTAGTGGAAGAAAACTAGATTCTTGCTTCAAAATTTACAGGTTTTTGAAGTAGAACCTCTATGGGCAAAGATACTTGCAGGTTGGATCATTAAAATCTAAGAATAAAATCTGCATTTTATTGGAAAGTAGTATCTGGGAATATATATAACAGATATATAGTCTAAACAAGAACTCGTGGGACATATACCTTGTAACTGAAACACGACCAACCAAAGTAAGACATAGAAGAGAAAAGCACCCACCTGGACTAGCTGGCATTGTCATCTCAGGGAACGCTAGAGACGCAAACACATACACATTACAATACAGTGCCATACTATCAGAGTGCCGGAGACAGCACATAGGTCATACAAATACAGTTAAGTGTTCAATATAGTGGCAGTTAATGTCTATATTTGTAAAATGGATTATCACATTTATGCAATACTCTTTTCACAGATAAAATAAAGTCTTTTTCACATTGATTTGTTTTTCCCAATTTCACAACTTATCGAATAGTTTTCTTGACATACATAATTGTCATTATTGTTAAAGGAGAAAATGTGTAAGTTAAATATCTTTGAAAGTATGACCTTGACCTTGGTTAATTCCCTATAGATAGCTGGACAAACAGACAGACAGTACGACAACACCACATCCATTTCACGCATGCTAACAGCAGTTTTTTTGGGTTTTATTTCATTAACAGAAGTTTTGGCTTCTATAAGTTTAGTCTTGAGTGTGATCTGTTTTTATTTTGATAAAAGCTTAGGAAAATAAGATTCTTGTCATTTACAAGAGCTTAGAAGAATGTGATTCTAATCATTTACAAGAACATACATGTATATGAATATGATTCCTGTTATTTACAAGATATAATATGAATATGACTTCACTGATTTCAGACATTAACATATATATTAACATTTCAAGATGGATCCCGTAAAATGGGTTACGTATATATACATCTGTGATTGTATTATATCATTTCATGCATATCTATACACGTGTATATAGCAATCTACATTTTACACAATAATCGGAAAAAACTGAACAAACATTTCAATTTCAAAATAGTCTAAAGATGAGAATAATATCTGGATTTTTTTTTTTAGTATATTCTCCAAACAAAATAAAACTGTCGACCAAAAACAAATAAAACATGTCATAGATCAACACAGAAAAAGGTCCTAATAATCCAGTGTGAGCCTACAGGGAACTAAATAACAAAACCAAGTGCTAATGGACGACAGAGTGATCAATCTGTTCCCATAGTAACCAAACTAAAAGGTGACTTCCAAGGAAACCAAACATTTGATTATACCAACAACAATTTCCTAGTTGATTTCTTAGTGATATCCTCCTTCAAATTTCGCAACATTTCTTTTTTATTCATCAAAACAAAACCAAGAAGACAATTCTTATAATTCACTACACTGTATTTATGAGACATTTGTTATAATTGTGACATTTTTTGGAGTACTGCAGTCCTACTTAGTGATTATAAACATCTTTTTGAAAAATGTTGTCTGATTTTGGGTCCTGCGGTAGTGTATTTGTGTGTTATTTCAACACTCTCTTTATTTCGAAATATCTCAGCGTCCTTATAACTTTAACACACAGAGGCTTGATTGTACAAACATAATTTTCGAACAGAAACAATGAGAGAAAAAGAAATGTTGTGAGATATACTGAGGGTATCTACAACTACACACTGTGTCACATACAACAGTGATAACCAAACCTTGGGGACTGGTGCCCAGAACTTGGACCCCCTGAATCGGCATTGGCATACCCCCCATAGCCCCGCCTGTACCAGTGAGACTGGACAGGTCTCCCCCACAACTACTGGTGGTGCCCCCTAGGGCCAGCGAGTCCAGGGGATCAAGCGGTTCCTCCTCAGGCGGGACAGTTAGGGCTGAACAGAGAAAGGTAAAAAGATGAAGGCTCCAACCCTGCATTAACCTAGCATTTCATTGTTAGCCACACTGTAAACACCCCAACAAGACATTATCCATAAAATCATAAGACCATAGTATTGCATTGTAGTCCAATTAATTCTTCAAAATTAAAACTATTAAGGACACTTGGAAATAGTTCTCCTTACAATACACAGAAACACACATACAAGGCCCCATTGGAATTAAGATATTAAATATTTGTATGTGTTATTATAGGGAATGAGGCAATGCCCATACAATTCTAGTCATTCTTACTCTAGCAAATTTCTAATATTGAATGTATTAGTGAAATAGTACAAAATTTCATAATATTGTTTTATCTTTGATCTTACATTATCATATCCATGCATTAGTGCTACCATGTATATATGCTTTTTATTTATCCAAAACAACTATAACACTCTATTAAATCCTATTTGTGCAAGACTATCAACTGATCTCATGATAATTACCTACAAGTATCTTATATCTTATCTAAGTCATGTCTTATTTCATATGTGTCTTGCATGTACTGTACTATGCCTTGTTCCATGAATATACATTACTTATATCCTCCTTAGATCATTAGTGAAACGTTCAGTAGATTGTGGATACCCTGTGCTATGAGACACTGTATAACTGTACCAGATATAACAGCATTGTAGCAAGCTATAATGGCAGCTAATTCTCCGACTTAAATATCCCGAAAATATCCAGGGCTCATTCCCATATATCACCATCACTGCAAGTCAGGAAATATTCCAACCTGGTACTTACCCACAGAACATATTACAATCACCATCAAATCTACATGGTTACATACTGGTATCATAAATCATCTCAGTATATAACTTAGGATCAATTTTACAGTTTAAAAAAAAAAGAATGTGTTTATGATTTGATAATAAATGATTGTACAAGAATAAGAGCATAGCTGTGACAGTGAGAAGAACAGTGAAGAAAAGTATGTATCAACTTGATGAAGTAGTAATTAAACCTTTAATGAGAATGACAATACAATAAAGGAAGAATGTGATAGCTTCAGGACTATGGTAAAACACCAACTGTTTACAGTCAAACCTCAATATAATGCCTTTCATTTTGTTTGCCATCTCGTTGACTGCCAACATATTTCAATGTCCCCATTTTATCGTTTATAAGAATTCCTTTATGCATTACCCTCAATTTATTGCCAAACCCCTTTATAGCGACAACTTTTCTCTGGGCAAATGGTGGCAGTAAAACGAGGTTTTACTGTGTTATGTTGAACTTTTATCATGTTATCTTTTATAAGAATCTCATCAGCATTTTAATTTGAATTACATAATTATCTATATTAATTTTATCAGACATTGTAGGTTTTTTCTTTCAACAGTTTTGCCACCATTTCAATTTTTTCCGTTGTTCTTGGCACAAAATGGATGAAAATGAAATAGAAGGAAATTGTCGCATTTATCAAGTGTTCCCAGTTATGATCTGTCACATCTGTTACTACAGTCTGTATGTCACATCCCGTCACAACCAATAATACTGCAAACACTACACAACTCAGAAATAGCTGGCACATCTAATAAGAAATTATTAGCATATTAACACACTACAATTATAAAGGATACAGGTAAATAAATCTCAAGAAAACCAAAAACAACATGTCCTTAATGATCTTAGCTGTTAATATGACTTTAAACAAAGTAAACCAAAAATGACCATCAAATTTAAATTGTTAACTTCACATATAAAAATAATTTTGACAATGACTGCATATTTGATTGTGATAATTAATGTCAGTAGAAACTCTTTGATACTGTAACAGGACTTTTAGGCCTGTTCATTAAATTCACCTCCCACCTAAAAAAATGTGCTGTTGAAAATTGAGTTATTCCATTTCCGGTTTGACATGTTAATTGTGAAATTTTTTAGACTTGTCTGTACACAATGATAAAGATGGTTGATTTTCGAACATATGAATAATTATACTGTGATATGAACTTTTATCAAAACAAAGACACCACAGCAAAGAGAAGAGCTAGCATGTTAGATACAGTTGTCCTGAGTGACCACTGACCTCAGGTACTGCCTAGTTAGGAGTCACACATTTCTTATCTGGCTATGTACCTTACACAACCCTTTCAATTAAACTGTATAACTGTATTACATTATTTAAAGGCAATCCCCCCCCCATTACATTATTTAAAGGCAATCCCCCCCCCATGAAAATAATAAACTGAAGCGTTGAGCTACTCTTCTGATTTCTATAAGATAAATAAGGCAGTTCCTGTTGGTCAGTCAGTAATATACACAGTACGCTCTGCCTGGCCAGAGAATGTTAGCTCTACAGTCTTTAACTTACACGGAAACTTGGCACTGGATGCTGTTTAGAAGGAAAAATAGAAACATACAATGTCTTCATTGACCTTTTTAATTTGACCAGCAATGTCTTACCTGTTTAATGTTATGTGTATCCATGTAACAACATTTGTTTAGTTGTTGTTTAACAGGGGTAAATATTGTGCATTTTCATTACCTGGTCACTTTGTCAAAAATAGACACAATCTTGACAAAAGTTCTCACATGCATACATACATGATAATAGCACAACACATAACTACAGACCACGCCTTCCCAGCCCTAGAAAGTGGGCGTGGCTGCTAGGGGCAGAGATGAAACACCTGGAGGAAATAGGTTTGCTACACAGGTGAGTTATATACCTGGAGATGTCGGAGTTGGTGAAGGAGTGAGTAGCTGACCCATTCCAGGTGACAGTGACACATCCAGAGTTAGGGAGTTAGCAGCAGCGCCACCTGCTGCACACATGGACAATCACACAGCAACAAGGGGAGGCCACCCACAAGAACACATGCACAGTTGAGTAGTATTAGTAGCAGGATAAGTTGGGTTGGTCGAAGAGTCGTGGCATTAAACAATACATCAGTTATATTAGCAAGCATGCAGAAAAATATATACAATAATAAGCAAACATGTTTACAAGATTGAACAAGTCTGCACCAGTAAGACTTGGAGACTGATGTGATTGCGTATAGCTGAGACAAGCCGCTGTGAATCAAGCTTGTGCTATAAGAAAGATCTGACTGATCTCCTGACCCAACAAAATAGGACAGTATTCATGCTTTAGCACTTTCAGGTAGGAATTCTCTGGACAAAAAGTAACTGTTATGTTTCAGTGTACCAATTATCTCACCATTACAAAGCAAATACTATGTTGTATAGTCAGGTTACAGTCTAGCGATACAGGTAATGAAGATTTGTAACCATAACAAAGACTTTTGCCAGGTAACCATAACAAAGACTTGTACCAGGTTACCTGACTTGTGCCAGGTAACCTAAACAAAGATTTGTGCCAGGTTACCTTAACAAAGACTTGTGCCAGGTAACCTAAACAAAGATTTGTGCCAGGTTACCTTAACAAAGACTTGTGCCAGGTTACCTTAACAAAGATTTGTGCCAGGTTACCATAACAAAGATCTGTGCCAGGTTACCTTAACAAAGACTTGTATCAGGTTACCTTAACAAAGACTTGTACCAGGTTACCTAAACAAAGATTTGTGCCAGGTTACCTTAACAAAGATTTGTGCCAGGTTACCTTAACAAAGATTTGTGCCAGCTTACCATAACAAAGATTTGTGCCAGCTTACCTTAACAAAGATTTGTGCCAGGTTACCATAACAAAAGATTTGTGCCAGGTTACCTTAACAAAGATTTGTACCAGGTTACCTTAACAAAGACTTGTATTGTCAGAGTCATTAGTGTAGAAAGTAGATAATTTTGTGACTAGCTGTCTGTGATTTATACAATAATTAAGCAGACCGTAGATCCCAAAGTTTATTTTATAAACACCATATAAAAAAGGAAGGACTCAAAGCAGACAACAGTTTAGAGACAAACTGATGGAGAAGTCATTACTACGCGAGATAATCAAACTTCTTAATATAAGAAAAGAACAAACAACGGTTTCTTGTGTCAGCTGAAGAATTCAATAACAGGATAAAAAGTATGCAGTCTTTGAAAATTGCACAAATTTGACACTGAAATGCAGCCAGTGTTAGTTTTAGAAATTAATCTGCCAATAGCTCTGGGAAACAATTATAATGTAGCCAATATTAGTCCCATTCATCAGTTTGTTACATGTGAACAAAATACAGCTAAAATAAAATCTATCTACGAATAGAGTTTTTCAAAACGATTGTTAGCATGCATCATCAGTAGATATAAAAGTCGTACCAGTGGTTGTGGTGTTGGCGTTGTGAAACACCTTATCAAAATCTGCTTCTGATGTAAACCCAGAACTGGACGCTGCACGGCAAAACAGTTAATCTGTACGTTAGTTTTGATTCTACCAAAACATTCAACAGATACATGGATCTAATCCTACTACGGATATTTGCATATTATTACTTATGTTTCTAACATAAACTAGCATGTCCAGTATCACCCGCCTGTAGTAACATGTTAAAACAGATCAATTAACAGTGAACCTACAAATAAATATATTTTAAAAAAAAGGTCATTTTTCACCTTTCCATAACTCCACCGTAAACCCACTGTACTTTTAAATATTTTATATATAATGAATGACCCAACTTTCCTGTAATTCTGGTTTCTTTATCAAATGTTCATGTCTGCTTTTCTTATTTCAAATTCATAATAAATGTTTTTCCTCCATCGTTAAACTACGAGCCGTTCAGAAAATATATCCTGATACCCATAAACTCAGTTTTATCCCTAATTTACCCTGGACTTTTCTTAACCCTTTCACCACTGTAGAACATAATGGACTCATCCAGATCAATGAATGCTAGAGTCTACTAAAGTTACATAGAGATAAAAGGGTTAACTCGACACCTTTCCTAACATTCATGCCAAAACTCTTATTTTACAACTACATACAGTAGATTCTGCTTAATTACTTGTACTTAACCCATTTGTCAAAAAATACTGTCTTGAATAAATGCAATCTTAGAAATTTTCTATGATACATTTGGAGTGTAATCTAGGCTAGTGTTGTGAATGTCATTGCTAGGCCTAGTTTATAGGAGAAAAACAAGATATAACAAAAACACAACTAGATCATAGGACAAAAAATACTAGACCCTTGGAAAATGAGGCTGTTGGGGTCTATTTTTTAATTTGATGAATGCACATTTTATAAATAACTGAATTTGATGTCCAATGTGCTTCTTTAAATGACCTTAGCTGTTGACAGGATTTTAAACAAAATAAAACCAAACCAAAGTACTTCCTTGTGTATGTTTCCATAGTATCTGGGATGCTGAATAGGCATACATCGTAATTATTGATATTTTTTATGTATTTAACTAGAAAGTATGTTATTTTCCTACAAAATAATCCGGATTATTTTATCTAAATACAGACAAAATAGTTCTATGTTTGGAAATGTTACGAATAACTGAATTATTCCATTATGTGAAATCTATATAAAGTTAAACAAGCTTTTTCACTTCAACAATTAAATAGCGAGAAAATTATGTTGTAACACACAGGAAGTGATGTATTAGCTCAAAGGGTAACACACGCCAAAATTTAGACAAGTCCTTTTCTAGATGCCAAAAAAAACACCTAATATTGTGTGAAGCTAGTAACACCCTGAAAACTTTCTGTCAAAGATAACAAGAGGCCCAATGGGCCTGCATCGCTCACCTGGTATAAAACTCACACTTGTAACCTTAAAAGTGATCTAAAATAAAGCTACAGGCAAAATATCAGTATTAATGATTAAAATTCGTTCAAAAGACCCTGTTATTTTTTTTTTAAACATTTCACCCCTGTGATTGAAAGTCGAACAAAGTCATTATGTTGAACACATTGTATAGCCTTTCATCTCAGGATGCAACTTGCAAAATTTAAACATCCTGGGACCCATGGTTATTCATAAGAGGTTGTTTAAAGATTTTAAACAAATTTGACCCCTGTGACCTTGAATATAAGTCAGTCATTCACTTTAACAAACATCGTAGTCCTTTATCCCAGCATATGCTACTAACTAAATATCAACATCCTAAGCCTTTTGGTTATTCAGAACAAGTTGTTGAAATATTTTAAACATATTTGCTCCTTGTGACCTTGAATATGATTCAAGGTCATACATTTAAACAAACTTGGTAGCCCTTGATCCTAGTATGCTACTGACTAAA